CGAGAGGAAGGTGGAGTTCTGTATTGATTTGATGCCTGGTGCGACTCCGATAGCCAAGGCCTCGTATCGTCTCTCCGCCTGAGCTGCAGGAGTTGTCTACGCAGCTCCAGGAGCTACTAGACAGGGGATTTATTCGCCCGAGTAGTTCCCCGTGGGGAGCATCTATCCTGTTCGTGAAAAAGAAGTATGGGTCACACAGGATGTGGATTGATTATTGGGAGCTGAACAAGCTAACGGTGAAGAACCGTTATCCACTTCCGAGGATTGATGACTTATTTGATCAGCTTCAGGATGCGTCTTGGTTTTCCAAGATTGATCTTCGGTCAGGGTATCATCAGATGAGGATCAGGGATGAGGATATACGAAAGACGGAATTCAGAACTCGTTATGATCATTACGAGTTTGTGGTATGCCATTTGGGCTAACCAATGCTCCAACAACGTTCATGGATCTCATGAATCAGGTTTGCAGGTCGATGCTAGATCGGTCTGTGATCGTTTTCATTGATGATATTATGGTCTATTCTAAGACCAAGGAGCAGCACGAGCAACATTTGAGGAAGGTGTTGGAGTCCTTGAGGAGGGAGAGGCTATATGCCAAATTATCCAAATGCGAGTTTTGGTTGCGTGGGGTGCAATTTATGGGGTACATCATCAACCAAGAGGGTATCTTGGTAGATCCGGCCAAGATTGAGGCGGTAATGCATTGGGAGGTTCCGAAGAACGTATCCGAGATCTGGAGTTTCTAGGATCTAGCAGGGTACTATCGGAGATTTATCCAGGATTTCTCCAAGATTGTTGTACCTTTGACTCGTTTGACCAATAAGAGTGTGACCTTTCTGTGGGGTCCAGATCAGCAATTGGCATTCGAGACCTTGAGATAGAAATTATGTGAGGCCCCAATTCTAGCCATACCAGAGGGGGCATGTGATTGCTTACGCCTCGAGGCAGCTGAAGCCTCATGAGGCGAATTACCCCACTCACGACTTGGAATTGGGGGCAGTGGTGTTTGACCTCAAGATTTGGAGGCATTATTTATATAGAGTTTGATGCACCATCTTCACTGATCACAAGAGTTTGAAGTATTTGATGGATCAACAGAATATGAATATGCGGCATAGGAGATGGTTAGATGTCGTGAAAGATGATAACTGCGAGATTTTGTATCATCCCGGGAAGGCCAATGTGGTGACCGATGCTTTGAGCCATAAAACGACAAGTGCTCCGATCCAAGATTTTTGCTTGAGGATGACGGTCACCTCACCTTTGATGGATATGATCAAGGGGGCATAGGTGGAGGGATTGAAAAAAGGATAATAGGAAGACTGAGCGAATTCGGGGGCAGATTCCATTGTTTGTTCGAGATGGTCAGGGATTATTGACTTAGTGTGGCAGGATTTGGGTTCCAACATTTGGGGGCGTGAAGAAAAAGATCTTGGATGAGGAGAATAAGTCTAAGTTTTCTATCCATCCGGGGGCCACAAAGATGTATCGAGACCTGAGATCGAGCTATTGGTGGCCCAGCAAGAAGCGGAAAGTTGTTTGGTTTGTTGAGCAGTGTTTGACCTGCAGGAAGGTCAAAGCCAAGCATCAGAGGCCTCACGGAAAGGTTCAACCGTTACCCATCCCCATGTGGAAATGAGAGGAGATCACCATGGACTTTATCACGAAGCAACCTAGGACGACACAAGATGTTGATTCCATTTGGGTTATTGTGGACATGTTGATCAAGAGTTCTCATTTTATTCCGATCTCCGAGAGTATCTCCGCCGATAAATTAGCAGATATTTATGTGCGGGAGGTGGTGGTTAGGCACAGAGTGCCGGTATCTGTGGTCTTGGACCGCGATGTTCGATTCACCTCCATATTTTGGAGGAAGTTTCACGAGGAGTTGGGTACTCAGTTGCGCTTCAGCACTGCTTACCACCCCCATACTGATGGTCAGAGCGAGCGAACAATCCAGACGCTCGAGGATATGCTTCAGGCATGCGTATTAGACTTCGAAGGGAGTTGGGATACTTATCTTCCACTAGCATAGTTCTCATACAACAAAAGTTATCATGCTAGTATTGACCGACCCCCGTTTGAGATGTTGTATGGTCGGAGGTGTAGGACTCCAGTTTGTTGGGGGAGGTTGGACATCGAGTCATGGGAAGCACCGAAGTGGTGCTTAAGACCACTGAATTGATTCAGCAAGTGCAGGATAGACTACGGATTGCGCAGAGCCGTCAGAAAAGCTATGATGACCGACGCCGATCAGATCTCGAATTTCAGGTGGGAGATTTTGTGTTGCTAAAGGTGTCACCTTGGAAAGGTGTCATTCGGTTTCGGAAGAGGGGCAAGTTGGGTCCCCGATTCATTGGTTTATTCAGGATTTCTGCCCGAGTTGGCAGGGTTGCTTATCGGTTGGATCTTCCAGATGAGCTCAGTCAAATCCACAACACCTTCCACGTGTCCCAGCTGCAGAAGTGTGTATCCGATGAGGTTGCGGTTATTTCATTGGATGATATTCAGGTGGATGAGAGCCTGAACTACTTTAAGAAGCCCATTGCAGTTTTGGATAGAAAAACTAAAGCTCTACGGAACAAAGTGGTGAAGCTAGTAAAGGTGCAATGGTAGCACCGGAAGGGCTCCGAATGGACTTGGGAGCCGGAGGACGAGATGCGAGAGCATTACCCAGATCTATTTGCAACAACGGACTTAGAGGACGAAGTCTAATCTAAGTGGGGGATATTTGTAACGATCGAAGTTGAGGTAATTACTTTTTCCCATTGAATGAAGTTTTATTTGCAAAAAAAGCCCTACGTATGTTAGGCGTACATAGGCGTACGCTTAGCGTACTGGGGGAAAGCTGGTCGCGGGCATGAACCACATACGTGGGGTGTACGTGGCTCAGGACTAAAACCCTAATCTTAGGGCAAGACCCCTATTTAAACACTTTTATGTTGCTTGGACCTTACCCTAGTAAACTTCCATAACCTTTTATCGTCCCAAAATCCCTAGATTCTCATGAGAGTGTACTCCTTGAGCATAAAAGTGTTTTGGTGGCCATTTTTAGTGGGTTTCAAGAAGAAGAAGGTGGTAACCAATCCTTGGATCTTATTGACCTTCTAGATCCTGCATCTAGTTCATCTTGAAGAACTTCTGGAGGTAAAAAGTCATAACCTTGCCATCTCTTTTGCTAGTTTGAGTTAGGGTTTTGTTATGAAGTCCATTTTTGGTTCTTGGACCCTCTTTTGTGAGTTGAGCAACTCCAGAGACTAGGATTGTTAGATATAAGCTCATTGAGCATGCTCGATGCATAAAGATGCCATCTTGAAGGTTGTATTAAGACCATGCATGAATTTAAGGTCTCAAAAGTGGTCTTAATGGTAGAAATGAAGTATTGGGGACCCATATGGCATGCAAGGGCATAAAGTTGCTAACATTATATCCTAGGACATCTTAATAGACTCGGATGTGAAGTTAGACGTTGAGATCTCAAGCATTAAGCACTTAATAGACTTTTATGCATGGATTGTTTGTACGTTGGGCGTAAAGTTCCGTACGCAGCGCGTACGGCCAAAGGGTTGAGTACGCTAAGCGTACTGATGTGGTACGTTGGGCGTACACACCATAGAAGAGTTGGGCTTCATTGGGCTTGCAAGCTTATTGGGCCCTATTCAGCCTTGGGCCTGGTCCCATTCAGAGTTATTGGACTTTGTTCTAGTTTGGGGCATTGATGTCATGATTGGGCCTTATTGGGTGATGTGGCATTGATGTCATGGTTTCCTGATCTAATTATAAAAGGAGGATACGATCCATATATTCAACCGAAGCTCATAAAGTAAGTGATTCCCATTATGCCCATATGGTTATGTATTTGTGTTATGGATAGATAAACATGCTAGAATATAGGCTAAGCATCTATTTTGGAATTGCATGCTATAATTGTCTAATTGTATAGATTCCTCTTATACCTTTCATGTGTTGTTTGCAGTATGTGATATGGAATCTTTTTTTGGTATTATTGAATTGTTAATCGAATGTCATTAGGGTTGTACATAATTAGAATCTGATAAACTTAGAATTTCTGATTCGACCTTATTACATGTTCCTTGTTTGGTTGTGGTTTTAAGGTAGAGACACTTATTCGAATGTATATCGTATTCTAGATTGTGCATGGATGTGCATTCGTGGGACATTTCGGTGATGTTAGTAGAGGTCTATTTGATTTGCAGATATGTGGGGAGGGAAGAATCCTAAAGAGAGTCTAGGAAGTGTAGTATCATGCATATGGTTAGACGTATGCATGCGTGTCATGCGTTTAGTGGATTGATGCGAAGTGACGTGGGAGTCTTGGAACAATCCTTAGAGCAGGTATGGATATGTGTGGAAGTTAGTATTGAGCCCGTACTACCGAAATCATTATATCCATACTTGGGTCAAGTATAGGAGTACCAAGAAACTTGTAGGTGGGTATGCATAGTGTTGGTTAGCACTGTGCATTGATTTTGATATGTTCATGTTACCTTTCAGATTTAGGATGTTGACTTTTTATGATGGAGGTTCAGATATAAGTGAGAGGGATATCTATGACATCATCGTTGCAGAGGTTTCGAGGTTAATGCTAGAGGATTAACCTGGTATGCTTGAACAATTATACATCTTTTTTTACTTCATTATCCATTTTTAAAGTTCATTTTATTTCTTGACAAAATTGAAAAAATTGTCATTGTGGTTTGTTGAAATTTACCACTTTGGTCCAAAAAGTATTGGACTAACATACTGGTACAAAATAACATTTTTATTGTGGTTTTGGTCCCTATAAAAATTAAATGATTAATTTGCTCTTATTATTTGTTTTTCCTTTTCTTTTCATCATTTCACCATTTTTTTAATTAAAAAAAATCACACTTACCTACCCACCCCTTTGTCCTATCAATGACCCAATGTCTCACACAAATAAGGACCAACTTTTCCATCGTCTTCTGCACCTCTCTTCCTAATCGTGAACAACCAATGTTAGAGATTACAACCACTACTGGAGATCATATCCATCAGGTCGAACCACCTTTGCTACCAACAATGTCCAACCCAAAGTTAGTTAGGTTTTTTCGGTGATAAAGGAGAGAGAAAACGAAGGAACAAATATAAAGTTTTCAAAATTTGTACCTAGATCCGCCACGATATTTATCAGTAACCTAATAAAGTCGTCATCTTAATCAGCTACCCTAACTTCGTCGTTATCTTCATCGATGGAGGCTCAGACCAATTGGAAGTTTATTGGAGGCTCACACTTGGAAAGACGAAGATGATTCCGAACGAGTTGTAGCCACCATTGAAAACTAAAGTGGAATAAGGGGAGAGACGTCTTGGTGATAAGTGCTCAGGAGAAGAAAGTCTAATGACACAGGAATTTTGGTGACGGTGGAGACCGGGTGATGACAAAGGCTAAATATATGGTTTGTAGGTTTAGTGTTTTAGTATTATTTGATATATATATATATATATATATATATATATATATATATATATATATATAGAGAGAGAGAGAGAGAGAGAGATATAGATAGAGAGAGATTAACTTATTTGAGTTTTGTTTTAAATATTCATGAAATAGAATTATGGATATTGTTTTGAATTTGGTTCTACTCTGGTTTCAAGATATCTATCTTGTTCATCCTTGTTTGTATGTGTATGGATCAGGAAGAGAGAGATGGGGGAGTTTTACGGTAGTTCTTGAGTTTGAGTTGCAAATATGGAACCATCTTGATTGTTTTTGTTATTCAGATATGAAAAAAATATGTTTGTGCTCATCAGATCAGATGGCGGTGGCAATATTGATCGTTGGTTGGTGGCGGTGAGTCTCTTAAAGATGAACATTATAAGAAAGAGAAAGGGGAAGAGGATGGGTGGGTTTTTTTTAATAGTTTATGCAATAAAAAGAAAATAGAAAAACAAAATAAAAAGGTTAAATGAGTTTTTTTTTTTTTTTTTTTTTTTTTTTAAATAGATCAAAACTGCATTAGAATTACTGTTTTGAATCATTGTTATTCAAAAATATTTTGGATCAAAATGACGACTTTCGATAATCTATAGGAACATTTTTGCAATTTTATCTTCTTTCTTCCTAAAAGGCTAAAACTCACATTATACAATTAAACCGGTCGTTTTCTACGATTTCCAAATTCATTACTTTCTTCACTCTCCAAATTCACGCACACTCTCCGCCAGAAATACAGGTAGCTACGTCACTTTGAATATCTCTTGAAATTCACAGATCTGTTTAAACTCTCGTTACAGATCACACGACTATAATGCTGTGTAGAGATGTGGAATCTAGCATATCATTTTGGTTGTGTTTGCAATAGCAAGTTTGTTTCTTTGGATTAATTTTGTCGGCAGTACTATGAGTTACGCATTTCCATAGATTTTTGTTCGTGTATTTCACTCACTACTCAAGTTTTCTAGGGTTTTACTTTTGCAGCATAAGAGATGTTGTTAGTGATTGAATTAGGACTGTAATTTGACATCTTATACTTATTAGTCTCGCTCCTCGTCTATTCTTAGCTACCTGATCTCCGACGCTCCTTTCTTTTCCCGGTGTTCCAATGATCTTGTCTTCCCTGTCTCCGGCGTTCTCACACAGATGAGATGTCGCCCTGAATACGTCCCAACAGCTGCTTCTCCCTGCTCCCCTCTCCTTCTCCATCGGCAACGATCTTCTGTCTTTTTTCCTTTAGGTTTGTTCTTTATTTTGATTTGAATTTTGTTTGGGTTTAGTTGTGAATGATTTGGTGTTTGATTTTGATTTTGATTTTTGTTTAGGTTTACGTGTGAATTGATTTTATTTTGGTTGTGATATCATATGTATCTGTTTGACGTCTGCAAATTTTAGATGTATGTGTTCAATTGCTACTGTTTTCGTTCAACTGCATTGCCTCCTCTCGATTTTCCTTTTTCCCCTGATTTTAGTAACCGAAATCATATGTGTTTGTTGCCTGCTGTCACTGCAATGGAATATCTGTTCATTTGCTGCCTAGGTGTTCATAATTATTCAATTGCTACTGCTCATAGCAGGAAATACACATTGTGTTCATATAGAAATAAACAGTGGGTTTTTAACATTTTTGATTCACTGTTTATCTCACATTCTCATTGCAGATTTAGATGACAAATGATGTGGAAAACCCACAAAAAGATCCCCTCCCTCCTCCACCTGTCATTGAATCAAAAAACTGGTATGATTACGATACTTTCCTCCATCAAGTTTCAGTATACGGTATAGCTGTTGGATACTGCTTATCTGCTTCTTTACTCTCCATCATCAACAAATGGGCAGTTATGAAGTTCCCTTACCCTGGTGCCCTAACTGCTTTACAATACTTCACAAGTGCATCCGGTGTATTCCTTTTCGGGTCCCTCAACTTTCTCCAACATGACCGATTAGACCTTCAAACAATGTGGCGTTTCCTTCCAGCTGCCATTATATTCTATCTTTCCCTCTTCACAAACAGTGAACTCCTCCTTCATGCAAATGTTGACACCTTCATTGTATTTCGTTCAGCAGTTCCCATCTTTGTTGCCATTGGAGAAACCCTTTACCTCCACCAACCATGGCCTTCACTCAAGACATGGCTTTCACTTTCCACCATTTTTGCAGGGAGTCTACTTTATGTCATCACAGATTACCAATTTACCCTCATGGCATATAGCTGGGCTTTAGCATATCTTATAAGCATGTCGATAGATTTTGTCTACATAAAACATGTGGTGATGACAATCGGTTTGAACACATGGGGTCTTGTTCTTTACAATAATCTTGAAGCTTTGTTACTTTTCCCATTGGAGTTGTTAATAATGGGGGAATTGAAGAAGATAAAACATGAAATCAAAGAGGAGACAGATTGGTATTCTTTTGAGGTGATTTTGCCAGTGGGTTTATCGTGTTTGTTTGGTTTGGCAATTTCTTTTTTGGATTTTCTTGTAGAAGGGCAATTTCGGCAACGGGTTTTACTGTTCTTGGGATTGTGAATAAGCTTTTAACTGTGGTGATTAATTTGATGATTTGGGATAAACATTCGAGTTTGATTGGGACAATTGGGCTTTTGATTTGTATGTTTGGTGGGGTTATGTATCAACAGTCTACTAGCAAAAACCCTAATTCCAAAACTTCTTCTGATGTTAAACAAGTTGTTGTACAAGAAGAAGATGAGCAACAAAAATTGCTTGAAATGCAAAATGTCACGACTTCAGAGGAAGCAAAATGAGATACATGTGTTGTATACTGGGAAATTGTTACTTTACTTACAATATTGTAGAATAGGTCAAAGATTCATTTTTTTTTATTTTTATTATCAAAGGAGGACATCGTATTTGGTTATGCACATTAAGATTTATCAAGTACCAAATGTTTGGTATCATTTTGTTAGAAATAGTTCTTTGTTTCTTGTATAATTTGCATTTGTACACTATTTCTGTGCTTTATAAACCTAGTTCTACTACATGCTTTAAGAACATAATAGATATGTTGGTTTTGGTTGCTTTTTTTACTTAACATGAACTGTTTCTTTTTGATGCAATGATTTTTTCGGAATATAAGGATAAAATGGTCATTTAGTCTCATTCAAACAGTTTTCGGTCTAAAAGAATAAAGTAAACTGGCTTTATGTTTACACCACTTTACTCGTATGGTTTGTTTCTTTTGTTTGAACGAATAAAATGTTGAATGGATGAATGATATAAATCGTTTTGTATGGATATGGATAAGGAACTTTCTTTGGACCGGTTTGAATGAGAATAAATTACTATTATACACTCCAAACATATAAATGTGATTTTCTTGCAAGCATTACGATTTTCTTGCAAGCATTACTATAGTGTAAAGTAGACGTTTGAATACATAAAGGCTCCATTATTCGCTTACTTCATCAAGACATACTTTATGTATTTAAATAAAAAAGAAACATTTGTATACAAAAGATGAAGTTGGATGGATTTTGTTTATTTTGACTTGGTAGATGAAATAAAGTCGAGAGTAAAATGGTCGTTTACTCATGTTCGTTAATTTTGACTTGGTAGATGAAATAAAAGCAATGGTAAAATGGTTATTTACTAATGTTCAGATAGTTCATTCCGTGTTAAAAGGAAACAAACTTTATTTATGTATACAACATTAGATCCATATACATCACTTACCCATTTAATGAGAAAATATATATTCTTAATCTTGTAAGTAGCTATAAATGAGTGTTTCTTTTTAGTTTGACACATAAATACACCACCAAAATCCTAAACTAATAACAAGATAGAAAAAAAATAATAATAATAATAACACAAGATAATTTGATTGATAAGTAATTTGTTGGTCAATCTTTTAGTAAAACACTTATTCAGTGCACCATTGCAAATCAGATTTGGAGGCGGGTTAGTCTTTGGCTTGATTTGGATATCCCTGTTTTTTTCTCTATGAGAGACATGATGGACTGGATCGATGCGAGGCCGAATGTTAGGCAACAACGGGCACTTGTTGACTCGATTTTTTCTGTGGTCATTTGGGTGCTTTGGACGTTCCGTAACGGTATTTTGTTTGGTAGTAATAAGCCTAGAAAGGATAGAATTTTTGATTCCATTGTTGATATTTCGTTTCGGTGGTTTTCGTCCCGTAACTCTAAGACTATGATTAATTGGAGTTTGTGGCTTCAAAATCCTACTCAGTCTTAATGGTCGGTATTTCTAGCGTCTTGCTAGTTTTCTTTTAATTTAATTGGTTGCCGCCGTTCAAAAAAAATATTTTAGTAAAACACATACATTAAATGTAAAAATATGAAGAAAATGTTCATGACCTTTTATATGGTTTTTATTATTATAAAGATTGGACCAATAGACCATTTAAATAGTATCTAAATTGAGAATTTTACTCCACGAGAAATGGAACAAAAAGCTGTTGAATTGGCCTATTTCTTGCGTGTACCAATTGAAGTATTTTAAGAAATGAGCCGCTTTCTCAGCAGGAGGGCAAAAACGCAAGAATGCTCTTTTTCCATAACATAACTTAATTGAGGTTTCTTCAGAACATTCATTCGAGTCAAAGCAGACATATATGGAACAAGTATAAAAAAAACTATTTTGGGATCTTTTAGATGTATCGATTTAGATGTATCGAAATATACATAACTCAATTCAATAAAAAAATAAGAAACAAATCGAAATATCTCATAATCAACCATTTAGAAATAAGGAAATTCCACCCTTTTTAACTATAATACATTTTCTACAAGTATATTTCTTTAGCAATAATAACAAACACTATGGAACAAATAAAGTTATGTTAGCAAAATGTAAGTATATTGCTATAATAGGTAAAAAAAAGTTCGTTGTTATTATAAGTAAAATGTAAGGTACATTTCAGTTATCTATAAAAAAAAATTATAAAAGGAGAATTTACACTTTCCGTATGTTGCGATTCTCTCCAATTTGTGTGCAAGTATATTCATTTCTTTGTATATTATTGAATTCTATTTCAGTTTTCTTTCTGTTAAAACTTATTTTCATTGTAGTTTAAAAAATCTACCCAATTATATATATCATTACAATTTCACTTTTCCCCATTTTTAGGACATTATATGTTAAAAATTGGCAAATTATATATATTTTAGGCAAGTTTGCAGTTTAATTGCTATTGCTTATTTTGTCCAATCAAACATTAAAATGGTTAATTTGGAAATTTAAAAGTGAAACACGAAAACCTATCCAAAAAGGTTAATTTGGAAAATTACCAGTGAAACTTGGTCAAAATGATTAATTTGAAAAAAAAAGGTTATGATTTAATTGCAACAACGTAATATTATTAATGGTTAAACCGGCCAAAATATAATGTTTTCTTTTCCTGTAATTTTCCCTTGAAAAGTTTACACAGTAATGTTATGATCCTCAAACTTCTCATACTTTACACGTACATTCAATCGTGCCCTCAAAGTGTTGTAGAAAAGGTTCTACATTCTTATGTTATCAGTCTAATTCCACAACGGAGTGCAATATAAATGAAAAACCTGAAAATTTACTATTCAAAGAAATTATGAAATTATGTTAACATGGTCTTGAAATGTAATAAAAATATACTAAATAACGGTAATCACTTTTATTAACCTATAAATAAATATGCAACACAGGTAATTAGAGTCTGGTAAAATGTTTGTAAAAAGATAACATGGAATTGTGGAATCAGGTCTTTTGATTACAACTCTAATCATCCTATACTCTATAGACTACTAAATACAATTGCAGGGGACTAATATGAAACTTGCAAATTTTCTATTTTGCAATGCCTTGTAAAACATTATTACTAATGTTCAATGTCTTTAGCAATTTGTCTCCAAGTTTATAATCACATAACAAATTCAATGTTTACAAGAGTCTAAATCTTTTTTTCACGCTAGTATTTGTGCATAAACTAAACAGAAGGTCTGATCAAATTCAAATTCAAAAGCTAAAACTCCCTCTGTCATATCTTTTCACAATTAACACTTTCTGATAGAACCTTAAACAACCCATCATATAGGTTAATACATTCTGGCTATTCAATGTATTGAAATCAAAATCCAATTTTATGATAATATGGTATAAACAGAGCCAAAGACGAGATAAGAAGTAACAAAAAGTGAAACACGTTTTTCACATATGATGGAGCTTGAAAAATTATCATGCAACATGTTGGGGTAGTGTTTATGCGTGCGACCCTAAACAACCTGCAATGGCTCCACGGCAAACCCTAAACACCCATCGCCAACAAAAATTGAATAGAGCAAAAAGAAATATAATGTTGATGGTGTTCATATATTTTATATTTGCAACTTTTAACGTACATTAGACCTATATATTTTGTTTCTTATGATTTCTATAAATATATTTTATAACACAAAATCAAATTTGATGTTCCTCCTTAATTACAATCTTTATTATTTTCATAAATAACAAAATGAATTCTAAGTTACAAATTTTATTATTTTCATAATTAATAAAATGAATAATCGTACATATATTGCACAAAAAACTAACATAAAATTCAATATTGATATTATTTTGAACCGTACGTGAGATCTTTTAGCAATATATATTATAATATTATGTAGATATTAATTAGTAGTATATCATTTTCTAAACAATAAAGTTATATCCAAGTTTAGAGTATAAACTATAAAGAAAACAAAAACAATTATCTTAAGTGGGAAAAGTAAAATTTTGATGTATATAATTCTTAACCTAATCGAGATACACACGTACATTTAAAAAAAAAGTTTTTATTAGTTGAAATATTATATTGGAAAATCTACTGAAAAATCTTTATGTTTAGACTTTATAATCGATTTAGTATTAAACGATTTAGTCATTATGTATAAGGAAACGATTCACTACTTCTTTGTGTGGTTTATTGTCTTTAGCCGAAAGGGTTTGATAGGTCGATGTCTTGTTAAAAGTATAACATATAAAGTATTTGAACAAAATTCATGTCGTAGTTATATTATGAAATGTGAATAGTTGCTAATCCATTAAAACTGAACATTATTTCTTATTGGTTATTTATGGAGCATGTGTGTGTAATTGACACATAAATTTGAGAGGTAAGAAGAAAATGATGTGAGACTTGTGGTTGTGGCTTGTTGGCGGAACGTATATGGTTAACCGACACATTAACATTAAGACCATAACATAATCAAGGGGTCACATGGGTTTTGCATGGTTGATTCAATTCGCCATTTTATTTGTGAGACCTTGGTATCCCATATATATATATATATATATATATATATAATATATATATATATATATATATATATATATATATATATAGAGAGAGAGAGAGAGAGAGAGATTGAAATTGATATATAGTTTTATCTACCTAAAATAATTTTGTGATATTTCATAATTCAAATCTAAAATATGGGTGCTAGCTTTAATATAAGTTGGATAGAGATTTTTTTAAAAATAACTTATAGCAATTTCATACATTTAATAATTCTTTTTTGATAAGTTACCCACATGTAACTTATCAAAAACTATTTATTTCACCTTATTTAAGAATTGATCAATATGCCCTTTAACCTAATAAAAACCTTACCTTAATACTTAGGGGTGTGAATGAGACGAGCCAACTTACGAGAAACTTGAGACCGACTCGAAAAATACTCAAAGTCCACTTGACTTTAATCGAACTCGAGCTACCCGAGTATCTTGTCGAACCAAGCTTAAGTAATAAAATACTCGAATTGTAAAGCTCACAAACTTAATTAGATTTAAAAAAAATTACATTTATACACTTGTATATATTTATTTAAAGAAGATATGGAATATCCTAGAAGGTTTTACACTTCCCTAGATCGAAAGACTTTAATCATATTTCATATTTGGGTTAGTGTCATTTTAACTAGGGTTGGCAAAATTGTACCACGGAAAACCAACCAACATGTTACCAACCGAACCAAGAAACTTGGTAGCCAATACATTTGGTAGCCAACATGTTTGGTTGGTAGTACCGTACCAGTTAATCAATGTTGGTACGGTAATGGTACAAAAATTTGAATACCATGGTAATACCGTACCAGCCAATTCATTTATATATATATATATATATATATATATATATATGAAATCGTATATTTCAACTATTAATTGTGTTTAGTGTTTACAGTTTTAATAACATTATATTAGTCATTTGATTGTATTAGTCAACAGTTATTACCACGTTAAAGCACAAAATTAAAACGTTACTTTAGCATTACTTTAGTATAATTCTTTTGTAAACAAAAAGAACTACGTAACTAATTTCTATACTAAACATCAAAATCCCGATGTCTTCGCTTTAGTAGAATTCTTTTGTAAACAAAAAGAACTACATAACTAATTTCTATACTAAACATCAAAATCCCGATGTCTGTGCTTATTTTTAAATCTTACAATAGAAAATTAAAAAAAGTTGGTATATACCATTACCAATTTGTACCAACCAAACATGTTGGTAGCCAAATAAATTGGTACCAAGTATACTCGGTACGGTACCGGTAGAAATTTTTTTATACCAATTATAGTTGGTACGGTACACGATTTAGAGAAAAATAAATTGGTACCGTACCAATTCCACCCCTAATTTTAACCCTACAAATCTTTTTCATTTGTTTTAAAAGACCGCACAATTGTTGTTGTTGGTTTTTTTTTTGTACTTTAGGGCAATGAAGTCGATTTTTTTCATGCTAAAATTATCATTATTCTCCATTTGAAGGGGTCACCCGGTAATCTCATAGCTAGTCAACATATTTGACTTTTGCCTGCCATTCGACCTTTACATCTATCATCATCATCTTTATACCCAACAAATTGTTTATGTTTGAAACCATTCAACTCATTGGCAAAATACCCAACATCCATCTTTGTCCCCATACATTTCTTTATATTCGTTAACAAATTCATATCTTTAAAACTCTTTGAAGGATAATATTGTGAGAACAAGAGAAAGATCATGTGATTTGTAAGCAAATGGCTATAAGGTAACAGTGTTGGATGGTGCAAGGTGAAGATGATGAAGGTGGATAAATGGTAAGGGTGATTGATGGTGGTATAAGACTACGACTATCTGTTATACATTAAACGGGCCACAAACCACATCCACCTCCACCTAGACATCACGAACCACAAAGAAACTCCGGTATACATATCACGACCACGAAGAGAGAGAGAGAGAGAGAGAGAGAGCGAGAGAGAGAGAGAGACCCTCTCTCTCATTGGTCGTTGTCTTTCGTCTTTCCCACCATGAACCACCACGAAAACGCCCGACCATAATAGGCCGAGGTGGTGTGCACAGACAACGCTCGTGGCCACATAGACCATGAGCCTGGGTATACTAGAAGGCATAATAAGGAAGGATGGGGTCTTAAAACTTGTTAGACCGGAGAGTATGGGAGGGAAGCTTCCCTCACTTTTTGTGGGCCATACCCCAATTTCCCTCACTTTTCTTTCCCTCACCTAAAACTCAAGGAATTGGTGGAAAGCCCTTCCCTCACTTTTTTTTATTAAATAAAATTAATTTTTTTTTATGATTTATAATTTTTAAATTAATACTAAACATAAAATTTAATTAAAAATAAAAAGCATTTCATTAATTAAAATAAAAATTACATTAAACCTAATATTTAAATAAGTAGAAAAATAATTAATATCCTAATTTTATATAAACCAAAAATATGTCATTCGGAATCATCGTCTTCGTCATCGCCCCTCATCGTCCTCGTCATCGCTTTGATCGTCTTCATCATTCTCCCCAATGTCACTTTCGTTGTCGGAATCTTCACTCTCGACGAACATATCAGAATCCTTGTCTGATTCGTCAAACAAATCATCGTGAGGAAACTCTAACGGGGGCTGAATATGAGCCCTATAAATGTGCTCCACCAAATCAGCACGAAGGGCGTGATGAATGTCACGATTGTGTACTTCTCTTCTATTCACCCTATACTCTTGTGTACCAACGGCTACTCCTTCGACATTTGGCAAAACTTCATTTTCGTTGTACCGGCATATCACTCTTCCTTCGTCTTCAAGAATTATATTATGCAATATGATACATGCATACATTACGTGCTGTAACCTTTTCACCTCATATGACCTTGCCCCGACCGTTAGTACTTGCCAACGTCTCTTAAGTACACCAAATGTTCGCTCCACATCCTTCTTAGCTGACTCTTGCGCCTCTTTAAACTTTTTCATTTTCGGGTCGTTAGGACATGTAAACGATTTCACAAAAACAGACAAGGTAGGATATATACCGTCAGTAAGATAGTATCCACGCTTATATGCTACCCCATTTGCTTGAAAAGGTTCGTCGTGCGACTTTCCAAGGTAGATATCGTTGAATACCGACGACTGGTCTAGCACATTGATGTCATTGTTTGCACCAGCTGGACCAAATAATGCATGTCATATCCAAAGATCATGTGATGTGATAGCCTCTAGAATGATCGTCGACTCTTTGTGGTCGCCTCTCATGTACTGACCACGCCATGCGTTGGGGCATAATGACCAACTCCAATGCATGCAATCGATACTACCAAGCATTCCAGGGAATCCATGCTTGCCTTCATGCACCGTGTACAATTGGTGAATATCGTTGATAGTTGGTTTGCGCAAATATCGTTGCCCATAAACCAAACAGATCGCTTTGCAGAACTTGTACACACAGTCCCGCACGGTACGCTCTGACATCCTAAAATACTCGTCCCATTTATCTGCGCCCATATCGTATGCTAGCTGACGAATTGCAACCGTGTATTTTTGAACGGGAGAGAAACCTTTTATCCGCCTTGCATCCATTTTCCATTGGAAATATGGAAAGCGGCCTTCCAAATCGCCAACAATACATAAGAATAGTTCCTTCCTCATCCGGAACCGACGTCGAAACTTTACAGCGTAGATGGCGTTATCTGCAAAATAATCTTGTATAAGGCGATCGTGTCCGGCTTGGTGATTTTTACGCAACCGCGGCTTTCTTGGCTTAGATCGTGTACGTGATGTTTCGCCTAGTCGGTTTTGATAGTATGCAACCGTTTTCGCCATGACGGAATCGATAAACTTAGCCTCCTCTACAGCCGTCGAATCGGATGATGAAGATGATGACATTTTGAATAATATTTTTTGGAGAGAAGTTTATGGTATGGGTTAAAAAAATGGTTGGATGTTGCGGTATTTATAGTTTAAAAGGAAAAAAAAACAATTTATATATATTAACAGCTATATAGCCGTTGGAATGGAATCAAACCCGTTGCAATAAAAAAAATAATAATAATAAAAAAATAAACGGACCAATCATGTGAGGAGTGAGAACGCGGGATCCCTACCCCCACCCTCTTCCTGCGCCTACCTTCTCGCACCCACGGTGCGGTGTTCCCCTGTACGGGAAACGTCCTGCACCGTCTCCCCGCACTCATACCGTCCGGCCTTATAGCAAGTAAAGTGACCTTGTTAACAAGTGACTTTAAGCCCTTAAAAATTTACAAACGTTCTAAAAAAACCTTGAAATTTTTGTAGGGTTTGAATAACATTTACCGTTCATATTTCCCATCCATCATCTCCCACCCAAGCCGTCACGTACTACTCACGCCTTAAATCCCTAATCGCCATCGGTCCACCACACTCCAGCACCCCAACTCGCCGGTCTCCGCCGCTCAAAACAGTCCCTTCCATCCTCCATTTCTGTTTGACCAAGAGGAAGAAGCGTAGAAGCAAGCACCAAGCAGTGCACAACGGATTTCGACTTTCAAGAGGTTTTTTTCTACTGTGTGTAGTTCCGACTTCCGACTTCTTTTCCATTCCTTTTGCTACTGTATTTAGTTTGTACTTCTACTTCTACCTTATGATTTGTTATTTTCCAATCTTTTTTTTTCCTATTGCGTCAGTTCCTACTTCTACTATATGACCAAAGACATTTCTTGGTTAAAATTGAGTTTTGATTAATGAAAAGCGAAGTATCTTGGTTGTGTTAGTGTATATGTGAAGGAACATGTACTAGTTTGATGCCCATGTATGCTACAAGCCTACAACATTGTGATAACCATCTGGTTATCAAGATTCAAGAATGACAAATAGTTTGTGATACGAGTTGGGATGGTTGCCCTTGCAGACAAGCTATTTGATCAAATGCCTGAAAGGGATGTATATAATACTTTCTTAATATGCATGTTTTCACTGATTGATTTTAATATACATGTTTTAACTTTGAACTTTTGAATTTTGATGTTGGTAACTTGGGAATGAACAATTTTAATTCCAGGTAAACATTTTCTTTTGTTTTTGGTGGATTACATAACTTTGGAGTTCCATTTCATTGATTTAAGCTCGACTTAATCCATGCACAAATAACATGGTTGCTTATCAGCTTGTATTGCGTCTAAATCATGCAATTAGTCCTGATTAAGTTGAGATGTTATTGTAGTTACATGATAAAGTTTATTGCTGTGAAGAGAATTGATTTTAGCTGCTGTTTTTGTGGGGTTTTGAAGCATTCTGCAATGTTGGATGAAAGCAAATTTGATGTGCATTTGAAGTTGTGGGCACTTCGAATCCCTAGAGAGTTCTGCAAGGTTGCAACTAAGCTTCTTAATGGGTATGATATTTTGTTAATTTTTTTGAATCTTGCTTCGTTTGATCACCCATATGTCCCTTGTTTTTACACCCAAATTCCATAGAAATCTTTTGCATTTCCAGTTGTCAAAGTCATGAACTTGAGTAGCTATATACTTACATATATATATATATATATATATATATATATATATATATATATATATATCACCATATGAAGACTGTTTGTCCATGTAATTTGCAGAACTCTTAGGATCTAATTGGATCTACTCTTGTTAATTCACAAGCAACTTTGAGTCTATGAGTCCTTGTGAGGAAGAATTTGGTTGTATTATGTCAATTCTCATGAAGTGTTGAAATTTGATCTTGATATTTAGTATCATGTAGACTTTCACATCATATCATTTATCATTTTTGTTCTTTATATATGTAGACATATGCTTGATAGACCACGTATCAAGCCCATCACTGAAGACCCAACTAGTGAAAAAACGCGTTATGTTATATTATCTGAAAGGGTTCAAAATCCAGGTAAGAAATTCAATATTACTCTTATTAAAGTAGTAATCTTTGCATGTTATGTTAGTTTGCACTCATTGCCTTGTAAGTTGTAATAATGTTGATGCATCTCATTAATGAATGAACATCTTGTCCTTTCTTTTTGCATAATCTTGCAAGTTTTTATTGTTTTTTCTTGTTATATATTGAGATTCATATTTTGTAATTGTGGCTTTTTGGAGCAGATCTGTCAGATATTCCAACCAAGAATCTTGATGAGTTAAAGAAACTATGCAAGATTGAAACAGTTCCATACTCACTGACACTTGGATATTCATACTGGGGTGCAGGTGACTTTTTCTTGAAATTTACACTCAAAATTGTTATCTTTAAGCAAAAAAAAAAATTTATATTTATTAAATGAGTGTTGTTCTATTACAGACCATGTGCTGAAGCAGATTCTACCTTCTGGACTTGAGGTCCCTTCATCTTTTGAAACAATAGTTAAGTATTTTTTCTTTATGTCTTTAAATTTCTATTTAGCCTTACTCTCTAACTCTAATGGGAATTCAAAATTGCATAAAATACAAGTAAATTGCTATTTCTTGGATCTATTATTTGGAATTAATTGTATTGGATGAATGAATTGAGCTGAATTTATTTATCATTTTCAGGTCACATTGCTCATCTGAATATACCAGATGAACTCCTTCCATACAAGGATGTAATTGCAAAGGTCATCTATGATGTATGTATGACATGTCTCAAACTTCCATTACATTTTTAGGGTTTTTCTATACAAATCATCAAAGATGCTGTTATATTACTACTATTCTGTCACTTTTAATCATTTATTTTCCAACTTAACAACAGAAAAACTATCCCAGAATCCAGACAGTTGTCAACAAAGTGGGCAGCATTGCAAACGAATTCCGGGTCCCACAATTTGAAATTTTGGCGGGAAAACACGAAATGTCTACAGAGGTGAAACAATATGGAGCAACTTTCAAGATGGATTATGGATTGGTGTATTGGAATTCAAGACTTGAGCATGAACACATAAGATTGGTGAATAAGTTTGAGAAAGGAGAAATCATATGTGACATGTTTGCTGGAATTGGTCCTTTTGCTATTCCTTCTGCTCAAAAAGGATGCTTGGTGTATGCAAATGATCTGAATCCAGACAGTGTTCGTTATCTCAAAATTAATGCAGATGTCAACAAGGTTAATCACACTCTTCGTGCTTATAATTTGGATGCAAGAATTTTCATCTCTAAATTGATGCAAGTGTTGCCTGTTGATGATGATATGAAAAAACCAGAATCAGAATCTGAGAAAAGGAATGGAGGTATGTTGTGTTTGCTTAAATTTAAATTTATAATTTATTAATTTGATATTCATTCCTGGAATTGGAAACAAAGAGGGGGATATGAACAAAGAATCAAATATAGTCACTTCTGAAAGCTGTATAGAAGGTATGATGATGTTTTCATTGAAACTTTTCAGTAGTGAATTTGTCATTTCTGTGTAAAAGACGTAAATACCCTTGTAATCTTTCATGCTGAAGCTCATGTAGCTGTGAAGACAAAAGGAAGCAAAAATAAAAGAATGAAAACTTTGTTGACTTTTACTGATAAATCATGGGAACATATTGATCATGTGATAATGAACCTTCCTGCTTCTGCTTTACAGTTTCTAGGTAAATATGGATTCTGTAAATTTATCTTTTCATTCATGTTAAATGAAAATGAAAATGAAAATTTAATTATATTTGTCTCAGATGTATTTAGAGGACTTATACAGATGAAATATTGGAAAGGATCTCTTCCATGGATTCATTGCTATTGCTTCATTCGATCAAATGAGACTCAAGAATCAGTGGTTTCAGTAAGCTTTATTATATATTCATTTCTTTCTATCACAACATTCTTTTCTAATTTTAATTATAGTTTGACCCATTTTGACTAATTACCAAACTTTGCAGGAGGCAGAATCTCTCTTGAATGCTAAGATACACGACCCCTTATTTCATCGAGTCAGAGATGTTGCTCCAAATAAGGTAAATTCCAAATATAAACTCTTATACAAAATTTCAACACTTCATTTTTTTTTTCTTTTAAAGATAAAGTGCTATCTCAATAATTTGTTTAAAAAGAGTAACAACTCAATCTTTTATCTTCACTTTCTCCATTAAGACGTTCTTTCTGCATTAAGTAGAAAAAAGATAGCTTACCAGATTAAGTCATGTCTTGCAGGCGATGTATTGTTTGAGCTTTCGATTGCCCGAAGAAGCATGCATCAATGAAGTTTCTTGATTTAAATATTGTAACTTTTTTACATTGTTATTTGGATGATAATTAATTATCCATAACTTTTTTTTTGTGTGTTTTAGGATAAGAGTTTTCGATAAAGTATAATACTCTTCTTTTTCGCGATGGTCTATTAAAAACCTTAAAAACAGACACGATAACAAAGATCAAAAAACAAGTAAAAGAACAATTAGAATTCCACCATTGAAATTGAAAGATGCAATCATAAACTTTAGGGGTAAAGAATATCCTCTTGACTGGAATTGCATCATATAGTCATATTAGTATATACGTATTGCTTTATGCTTTTTCTTCAAGTGGGTACAAAATTCAAAAAGACAATTTTTTTATTGGAGCACACACCTAGAAAATATAACAAATAGTCATAAAATAACATGTGTTTTATCTTTATTTGTATTATATTTTATGTTTATGTTTTTTGTACATATCTACTCCTATAATCCGGAAAAGAAAGTCTCATTATGGTCATGTATTAACATTTAGATTTCCATTAATTCATAGTCCATGAGAAAAAGACAAATAACCAAAAATTAAGCCATGATCATGAGTGCGTAGTTTATGTCAAAATCTTCTATTGGTCACAAGCTATTGCTAAAAAACAAAAAATTATAAACATGCAGTCATATTTTTCGGATTTATGGGTATATTTGGTAAAACTAGGCAACTAGGTGTAAGTTGTAAAATTTTTAAATAGTTACAAAATGATGTAAACTAGACATGTTTGGAAAGTAAAATAATTAGGTATGTAGAAAAAAAATGATGATTTAAATGGAAGAAATCTAAAAAACGTTATTGATTTTTATAAACTTATCCTGAAATAAAGTTGAAAAGGTTAAAAGCAAACAAATGAGAGGACAGGAATGAAAAATATATAACACGTAGATTCAGGCTGGAAAGCTTAATGAAAACATGTTTGGGGTAATCTTCTTTTTTCCCTTTTTTGCCCCTTGTTAAAAAGATAGAGTCAACTTTTCTTCTTCCCTATCTTCATTTCACAACTTTCTTGTGTTGACCCTTTTTGGTGAACATTAGGACCCATACATATATATGGTGTCATGGTAACGTAAAACTTTTAATAAATGATGTCTAAGTTTATATTTTAGATATGTGATTTTCCTACTTTTAAAAAATACAATGGTGAAATATGTGTATTTTTGGTATGTTGGTTTTGGATGAACCCTATCCGTAGAATCAATAAAAGTTCATCAATCGAAGTCAAATACTTTACTCTTGTTTTCGATAAAGTTGAATGTATAATTGTATTGTCTATTTTCACTTTTGTATAAGAATTGTTACGTAATTAGGGATACTTAATATTCTAGTAGTTTTATAGAAGATGTTGTTTGATATGCTTCTTATTTTGTTTTGTAAGAGATGGAGTCAGACTCTTTTTAGATTTATAATGTTTTATATCACATTTAACTCGGTTTTGGCTCATTTGAAATGCCTCTTACCCTTTCGGATTCAAGGTTGAGCCTTACTAAGAGGTTGTTTGATAGTTGGTGTTTGAGTCTGACCTGATTGAGTTAATGAATGTCTGACCGAGTAACTCAACCCTAAATTTGACCGGATAACAGACATTTCAGAGGAACCAAAGACCGAGTCAAAGACTCTTAAGTGTGATATCAAACAATATGAATCTAACTGAGTCAGATTCAATCTCTTACCAGATCCAACAAGATGAGTAAGAGACATATCAAACAAACCCCAATATTTATTTTGATGTGATTAATAACTATCAAAGAGCCCTTGTTTTTTAGTAACTTGATTTCAAATCAAAAAGTAAGGATATTTAGGTAATTTATAGAATCTTTGTTAACTAACTATACATTTTGTGAAATGTGTTTATTTGGTTGTAAAAAGAGTAACAAATTGTTTATTGGACAGTTAAATTAATTATTGCAACTTTCCGAAACAACCCTTTTTACCTATTGAAGTTGACTAGAGATTTAACGGGGCAAATCGGATAAAACCAGCGGACGTGTATTAACTAATAATAGCATATGGTCGTTTAAATAATTTTATTAAAAAAAAAAGTTGTTAGCGTAGCAGTATACTTTTTGTAATTACATAATATTAGAAAAATGTTTGGGGACAGGACAATCAATCTATTTTAATTCGCATCAAGAATCTTCCCGTTTTAAAGCATTACCATGAGGGAATTAAATCATAAAATTTTGAAGGAACAACCTAATTGAATTAAAAAGGTAACATAATGAATAGTTATATTTATGGTTAGTTCGAATAAATAAAATAAAATAAACTTATTTTTATGTGTAATTAGAAGATATAAACTAAATTGATAAATACAAAAAAGCGTTATTTTATCAGATAAATCACATTAAGGTATATCTTTAAATAAATAATATATACACATATATCATGTTGTTTAAATATATACGTTGTATTTTAGACAATAAAAAAAATAATGATAAATAAAATAAAAATTAAATACCATGATATCTTAAAATGAAGTTATAAGAAAAGTATTTTTAATTATTTTTCGAAAATAAAAAACAAAATATTTTAATTTCACTTTTTTAAAAGTTCTAAACATATTATTAAAAGTTATCTAAATAAAAAAAAAATATATATATATATAATTGTAATATATTATTTCATTTTTTTAGTGACTCAAAAAAATTATTGAAGCTATAATCAGACCATAAGAAAAAATATCGTTAGGAAAGTGTGTGTGTGTATGTGTGAGAGAGAGAGGGATGTTAATGACGTGTGTATATTAGAGATAGCAACGGGCCTCGGGGAATACAGAGGACCCCAATCTTCATCTCCATCCCCGGATCCTTATTACAATCCACATCATCAGCCTCATTCTCATCGAAAATATAAATGAATCTTCATCTCTACCCTCAAAGGGGAACGGGGATCCCAAGAGGGGAATCGGAGATTTTATTTTTAGTTTAATATGAAAACTTATAAGTAAGAAAAAAACTCTAAATTTTAATTTTACCAGCATAAGTTTAAACATTTTACAAAAAATAAAAATATTCATAGATTGCATAAAAAACTATAAATAAACTTTCTACCAAATTTAAATACATACATGGAAAATTAAGTAGAAAAAAATTTACCATAGTTTTAGACCATAAAACTATGGTAAATTTCTTTTTCATCAAAAACATTTCATTTTTTGCAAAACATAGTTTTAGACCATAAAACATTTTAAAGCATTTTCAAGAAAAACTCTTTTCATACACATCATAAATATTATTTCATATTTTATCATTTCATTTCTTTTCATTACAATTCAAAAGACATCTTTCTAAATTTCTTTCTATTTTATCAAGGGCTGATTCCAGTATTAAACCGTTGCCAATTTTTATACTTAGGGTACCCCCAAGTCTAGACTAAGGTGGAAAGAACAAATCAATCCACTAAGGCATCGTGCTAACTAGGACATCTACTTCGCGAAGGGAAGGCGTCACCCCAGTAGATTCCTCTAGACCTCTTACGAGACATCATGGCCCGCACAGCTTTCATTCTTTCTTTACTTTCCAATTCTTGTCATTACTTTCGTTTCTTATCATTACTTTCCATGTTTTGCACATTTCATACTTTAGTATCACAATACTCATTTCAAAAGCAAGACATCTATACTTCAAACATGTTATCAAAACATTTTTTATTTCAAAAATGTTCTTTAATCTTAAAACATTTTTGCCTTCAAGGCATTCTTTCAAAACATTCTTTCCAAAAACATTTAACACTTTCTTTTCAAAACATTTCATATATCAACATTTCATTGTCATAAAATAATTTTGCCATGTACCCCAAAGTGGGAAAAATGTCAACACGTACTCACCTAATTCTCCAATGTAGATTAGCTAGTCATCTTCTAGTTCCTTTGCTTAGATCAACACGTCTCAAAAACCACCTATATCACATAAAGGTGAAGGTCAACAAAATGACCAAAATACCCTTCTAATATTTCTAACATTTAGATATTCCCCACAAGCTTATTTACTTCCCATTAGCTTATGTATAAAGTTTGAGGGCAATCGGAGGTCATTTACTAGGTTTTCTATGAAAACCATACACTTAATAGAACCTTTGACACGGCCCGTGTCAAAAAGACACGCCCACGTATCATGTTTGACACGCCCTCGTGTCACGACTGCAGGTCACTATTTTAGGTAGAATCTTGCTAAAAGCTTTGTAACTTGTTCCTTGGACTTCTAATGACCACCAAACTTTACAAAGTGGTTATTAAGGACTAAATGAAGGGTATCAACTTCTCAAATACTCAATTAGCCCCTATCCTCATGATGAATTAATAATTAAGACATTTAAATGTCATCAAAGCTATATGAAAACATAACATGACATCTAAGCACCCCCGTGAACAATTAAGCTCTTAATAACCAATGTACTCATTCAACATCATTGTAAACTTAATTGAATGTTGTTAATTACTTAAAAGCATAACTAAACTCATTGTAAAGTACCTAATCCAACCTTGGATTCATGAATTCCATTCCATATTCCCAAATTGCCCTTATTGCAAAACAATGACTAGGATACTTATAGATCAAGAGATCTTTCATGTTTATGTTCCAATTCCATCTCTAAAATGTCAATCCATATCCATGAATGTCATTCACCTCTTAGTTGTCAATCATCATGTAGTTATCCTTAGATTTTCCAAAATTCCCTTATGGCTAATTATTCCATAAATTCAACTATAGATTATTAAATCTTTCATGTTCTTGCACTCCAATCATATTGTTGGTATCAACTAATGCTTATGAGTATCATTTACTCATCAAATTCTCAATTACAAAGGATCCATTGATTTCATCATATTGTCCCTAAATCCTTTTCAATCCACGCCTATACATGATTCTACCATCATGGATGAGTTTGATCATTCAATTTGGAATTATTGTTGTCAAACGTCATCTAGGTCATAGAATCCAATCCCATTTCATTATCCATTGCAATATCCCCAATTTGGGTTTTATAGGGTTCATGGAGCTTTTTACCCAAATCATCAAATCCATCAATGAGATGATTGGATTGAGATTAGAACCATGGAAACCAATCAATGGAGGTTAGAAAACCAAAACCTAATCAATATATCCTTTAAATTTCGACATTGGGTTTTCCATAAACATTGAATTCGAAAAATGGAGCAAGAGGAAGAGATGTTATACCTTGTAAACCCTTGTTTCAATAACTCCTT